ATACAAAAAGAAAAGAAAAGAAAGAAAAGAAAGAAAAGAAAAAGCGGCGCATTCGTCCAAAGGAAAAAGGTATATAGAAAGAAAGAGAAAAGAAAGAGAACAGAAAGAGAGAAAAATGAAGGAAGGGAAAATAAAATTAAAAAAGAGAAGAAAAAGGAGAGCCACACAAGTCGCTCGGCCCCACCTGGCAGAAAACACGCTCATCCCAACACGGCAGGAGCAGTGACCTGCTTGGAACTGACACGGCAGTTCGAATGACAGCCACAAAAACAAGAACCAACTGTGTACCAGCAGCACAGCTGCCTTGGGTGATTTCCTTTTGTGAACTGTATGCGATCTGACTACCTACAAACAGTTACGAATAAAAAAAATATGTGTCTGTCATTAAGCCCCAGCCAAAGTGCACAGGTGCATTTGAATAACTCGAAGAACTGCACACTTCGCATATTAAAGGCCTCACCACAGTGACCACACAACTCGCCAATGGCACAAAAGACAAACCAATGGAACAAAAGACAAAACACAAATCACCGCGGCGCATCTTTCCATGTCCTAGCAGGAGATTCATTCTCATTTTGCGCATCTGGTCATGTCCTAGCAGGAGATTCATTCTCATTTTGCCCATTTGGTGAGTGGTGCGGCGAGGTACTAAGCCACAGCGAAAGGGAACGGGTTCAGGGGAAAAAAAAAAAAAAAAAAAAAAAAAGAGCACAGGATCACTGTGTGGGCACAATATAGGAATAATTACGTACACTGCAGCACAGGAACAGGCCCCATTTCCGAAATAGGAAAAATAATAAAAAGGTGACAGGCCCCACAGATGTCATTCTGTGCTGATTTGGCAAAGACGAACGAACGTTACTCTGACATCTGCCATTCACTGCACAGGCGACAAAGTCCCACTCGCCCAATTTTTCTTCCTTTCTGGCCATTGGACCTGCCCCCTCCACTACTGAACGTTCTACATGCATTTGGACGCTTTCGCGACCAGGTGCATTCGGAAGTCCAGCATTCCGAACGCTATCGAGAAGATAATGTCCTCCAGATACAAATAGAAACTCAGAATTCTACCCGCATTTGAACACTTTCTCGACCAGGTGCATTCGGTATAGACCCTACCACGCAGGTGGTGCATTCTGAAAGCGTCCAGCATTCCGAATGCTATCGAGATGATAATTCGCTCCAGATACACATGGAAACTCGTAATTCTACCTGCATCTGAATGCTTTTTCGACCAAGTGCATTCGGAAAACTCTTGCGTTCTGAATGTCATTGGGATAATCATGAGCACTGGATACAAAAGTGTACACTAGAGCGCGGGCCATTATTCTTGACAATCGACGCCGATCAGAACAGTGAAAATCTGAGCAAGTGGAGCCTCATCCCAGCGTCCTGAAAAGCAACGGTGAAAAGAGTTCAACTCTTTCTACTCCTTTTTATCTCTTCTTTTTTTTTTACCTAGTCTTTATATTCTTCTTCTTTTTTTCGCAACCTCGAACTGTTCGACCATACAAAGACAGACCCTTGGTCACGCCGAAGCAAAGAGAAAATAAAAAAAGGCGCTTTTAACAAGGGATGTGATGCGCAGACTCGACACCGTCGAAGGCCAACGGCATACAGCAGACAATATTCTCTTTTTTTTTAAAAAAAAAGGGGGGAAACTGCGGGAGTCACAAACGGGAGTCACAAAAAAGAGTTAAAATTGCATTACTGGCCAAGATACAGTTTCAATTTGCAGTTCCGGCAATGCATACAACCCAGCTTTCTGGTCAGATAGGGTGCCCGTAGTGCAATCGCAAACTGCATTTTGCCCCATATAGCTACAACTCGTTTTTGTGACTCTACTGACGTTACCCCCCCCCCTACAGCATAGACAGAGAATACACCACCACGCCCCCCCCCAAAAAAAAAAACCAAAAAACCAAGCATACAGCAGAGACAGAGAATACACCACCACCACCCCCCAAAAAAACAAACATACAGCAGAAACAAAAAAAAACCCCCCCCCCCCCCCCCCAAAAAAAAAAAAAATACAAGCATACAGCAGAGAGAGAATACACCCCCCCCCAAAAAAAAGAAGCCCAACATACAGCAGAGACAGAGAAGCTGTGCGATGAGCACGCACGCACGACAAGGTACCTAAAACTCGTTTCGTGAAACGCAAGGACTGTTTTTCCTTCCGGACCTCAACCTTGAAGCTCGGAAGTCAAAAGAAACAGCTTAAAAAAAAAAAAAAAAAAAAAAAAAACAGCCCCCGCTCCGCTTACGCTTGGAAATCATGAATTTGACTGTTCTATCAAGCCAGATTCGTGGTTTCCGAGCATGCAAACTGGATCCATATCGCCTGGCACTGGCACCCGCCTTCCGCTCAATAAAGTCACAGCGCCGACGAGCCCCTTGGCAAAGTCAGCCAGTACCAAAGCCATCAGAGTAGAGTCCAATTTAGGGCCTCGCCACACCAATGCATTTTCCGCAGAAGTTGGTCACGTGCAACGGATGCATCTTGCCATTCTCTGCGGAAAGATGCACTCGTACTTTTTTTCGTTTCGACAGTGGTGTGGCGAGGCCCTTAGCGTTTCCGTTTCCAAACGCGATTAGTTTCTAAACACATCACATCCGATATGATTCGGTCGGGATTCGAACACTGACCTGCTAACACGTGGAGTTGGAAAATTTAAAACCAGTGCACTCACGAAATGTGAAAATGACAAAAATATGGCCGGCTGCATCTGTCCATGACGGAGGGAGAGACGCATTGTCGTGCCCAGCTGCATCTGTCCATGACGGAGGAAGAGATGCATTGTCGTTTTGCACATCTGATAAGTGTGGCGCCGAGGCCCCATCCACCTGCAGGCTGCAAAATCGCCCTTCATTACATCTGCCATGCTCGAGTCAAACTTCACAGACTCAAGTGAGCTGGAGCAGTGCTGGCGCTCTTTTAGTCAGACAGATTAACGCCAGAGAGCATCTGCGATTAAAATGCACGATACAGAATGCCCCAGAATGCCAGAGTACATCTCTGATTAAAACGGACAAAAAAACGTCAATCGCAAAATCAGCAGATGGTAGAGTTTTCAGGTCACATAATAGATCACGGGTTCAAGTCTGGTTTGGGACTTTGGGGAGCATTCCCGTCCAGCTTGGCCTGTCATCTCTTCAAACGAACACAGTTCCCTCCGCATAGCACTGCACATATCTGGCCTTCGGGCACATACATCTCGCTAAACGGTTACACAGCACACACAGCATTCGAGCAGATACAAAACACATGGCCCTATGGGCGCATACAAACATACGTAGTAGGCTCACACATATAAACACACACACACACACACAGCTTTCGGGCAGGCTTAGCTCAGTTGGTAAGGCAAAGAAGTTGCATCCAGGACGTCGTGGGTTCAATCCCAATTGGCCTCACGTGCGTGCCTGGGCAGGCTTGGTGTTCTACCAGCTAGAGATAACCCGTAGGCTCTCCAGGCCAGCATTGGCAGGACCTTGACCAAATATTGTTGGCTGCTGTAAAGCAATAATATTTGCCATTAGACACGGCTAATGTTGGGTTGGAGGGGGGTAGGGGGAAATGCAAGTGACTGTCCAAAGCCCCCTCGGCAATAGGCCTGATCACCCTGCATCATCGTGACGAGGACCTGATACAAGCATTGCTCTCGCACCACTCCTGTGGTGCAAACCTACCCCATGGGCTAGGGAGACCTCCAGGTTTGGTTGGTGTTCCCCCGTACTATACATAGGAGTAGCAAGAGGATGAGATATAATATATGCAAACGAAGATTAGACTACTTTATACAAGAAAAAAAAAGAGAAAAACGCATGGCCCTATGGGTGCATACAAACATACACAGCCTCTAGGCATACACACATACACACAACTACGAGACTGGGGTGGGTGGGGGTCTACTCACACATGGCGAGCTCTAGGGAAGGGGAGGGATATAAATCGCTCAACCTAGTCTTCCGCCTAGCCTTGGGTAATTTAGGGGTAGGATGTGTCCGTAGTCACCGGCTTGCCATGTTTGGGCACTCCTGCTGGGTAGACGCTCTAAATTGGGCCTGTAGAAGATTGCATTGTCACTTTCCGCTTCCGCAAGGGCTGAGGCGTTGGCTGGTGCTCGTCATTGCTGTCTGTTCCAAGTTGCCCTTCGATACTGGTAAGGTGATGGTCCTCAGTGCTGGTCACACTGAGGTCGGATGGTAGGGACAGGGGGTTGGCTGGTAATATAAAGTGGGGATGGGTAGGGTAGGTGGCCTATCCTGTCAGAACCAACCATTGCCAGCCACTGCTAGCAATCACCTCGGCTGTTGTACTTGGCCTCTACGACACCCTGGGCTTCTAGAGAGGAGGGGGGGGGGGGGGACACTGGTGACACCGTGACAGTCCGCCCAGAGTTGGAAGTGTGCCTAACTATATCATTTGCTAATGTCCTTCCCTAGACTGAATTTGTAGATTTTCCTTTTCATCTCTTTGTTTTGTTTCGTCTCTGGCCTGAATTCCCACTTCAAAAGAAAAAAAACAGAATAAAAAAAGACAAGAAAAGAGGTCCCCAGTTCTGTCATCTGCCGCTTTTGCCATTGACGTTTTTCATGTTGTCGTTTTTTTTAGTAAACTGATCAGAATATCTTCGCCAAAAGGCCCAGAAAGGTACATTGACGTTTTTTTTTTTTAAAGGCGAATTCTTTAAAGCCCAACCAATTCAATTACCGGTGGAGTGACGTTTTTTGTGCATGCCAGAGATGGAAAAAAGGAGATGAAAAACAAACTCCAAAAATTCAGGCTAGAAAAGGACATAAATAAATAATAATGGTCTATTCAGGCAAAGTTGCAAGACTGGGCCGACTGTCACCAGACCTTCGCAGGCACCACTACACCGACAAACTCATTTCAGAACGAAGCCCCGCTCGAAAAGGCAGAGAAGACAAATGGCCTCGCTCCACTACTCACAACATGCACAAATGACAAAACATATGGCTGAAAATCTTCCCATGTTGTAGCGGAACATTCATTCTCACTTTTTGCACATTTCGTGGGCAGTGGTGCGAGGCCCATAGTAACCACTCAAACTCCAGTCCGAGCCAAAAGTACCCTTTTGATCTCAACAATCTGCTTCGGATCCAGCTGTTTACCAGCAACGCGAAAAATAGGTATCACTACTATCAAGCAGAGACGCAAATGGGAGACCCAAGTAGAAGAGAGAACAACTCAGAACAACTGCAATTGAGCGATCAACCAGAAGAAAATAAGAAAAAACGGGAAAACAAAAAAAAAGAGAACAAAGAGAGAACAACATCAAAAAGAGAACAAAGAGAAGAAACAAAAAGAACAAACAAGAGAACATGAAAAAGAAACAAAGGGAAAGAGAACAAAATATCAAAGAAACAAAGAGAACAAAGAGAACAAAGAGAAGAACATATCTGGGCGACGCGTGAACATGGGGCAAGAGGGCAGAAAACAGGTACGTACGACGTGAAAGGACGACGAGAGCAGACTTCCAAATTGGTAAAAATGGTGGCAACACGAAATATGAAATTGAATTGAGTACCGGAAAGATACCCTCCAGACGAGCTCAAGAGGATGAACTGGTGTGAGTCATGGCAAAATGAGAGATAAACACGAGCCGATGGCCCAGAGGGGTGATCTCTTATTGACACCTGTGTTGAATAGAACACACCACACTCGAGAACACTTCTGTCCTGCACCCCTCTCCACATCGCCGTCTATTTCCCCCTGCAACACATCCGCTTTCCGCACATTTCCCCCTCACGCCTCCTCCCAAATCTCTCCCACCCATACCATCCTACGTAGAACACGACTTCTCTGTCTCCAGTATTAACAGCTGTTCCTTCGGCTCAGTGACAAAAATGAAGAAACGTCTGCACACCATCATCCCGCGAACGCAGTGCAAGTCACACTCGTGAATACACCGTGTCACAATACTAACTCTTCTCTCTCTCTCTCTCTCTCTCTCTCTGCCTTTTTTCACTATTCTACTCTTGCTCTCTCCATTCCTCAGCGCTTCCCAAGCACAGATACATGCCAAACATCTATGTACATCCTCGACCATATCTCACCGCGCCAATGGAGTGCAACACACAACCTCACAGCTCTCCCCTCCTTTTGTTCTTCGTATCTCTCTCGGGTTAATCCAACCCTCACAGAGACGGTAAGACTCGACCGCAACTATACTTCTGATTGGTCAAACAACTTCCTCACCACACCCATCAGCCTACACGGACCACATAGTTTATTGTCCCCCTCCCCTCAGATTCTTTCTTCTCAACGACCTCCACAGACAAGGCGACCGCTTCCAACGGCCGCACTTTGGAGACTGGACCCCCTTTCTTCCGACAATTTCCTAGTAATCAATCAGCCTATCAAGGAAGCACACACCCCTCAGATGGACTCAAGATTCCACCCCTCCCCCATGCCCACTCCGCCTCCTCCCTCCTCCAGTCGCATATTCTCATCTCCACCCCTCCCCCATGCCCACTCCCCCTCCTCCCTCCTCCCTCCTCATGTGGCATAATCTCATCACAAGTTCTTCTTCCTTCTCTGCATTTCGTATTTCTCCGCATCATCAACGATATGCGGGCACGGTTAATTGCATCTGTTCATAGCTTGGACACAGACTCATACCGCATCGGCAACAATCTACCTATACCGAAACAAACTGAATCACTTTTACGATCACCGATTCGGATTACAGAAGACTTCTCAACAACTCTCGTGCACAGATCGACCTTTCTAACACCTGTGCCAATTACACAACAACGCATGATCCGAGTGCCGCCAATCGTCAAGCTTCAACCCGACGGTCAATCCACCTCATCGCCCATCACAACCTCGCGCTAACACACCCCTTCTTTCGACCTGCCGCTGCTAATGGGAGGCAACACGCAATGCAAGTGCCACTCAACCTGGTGCTGCCCACACTCCTCGCGCAACACCGAACGTACTCCCGTCTGCGATCCCGACTCGTCCCTCCATCTTCGCTCTGCCCAACTTCACACAAAACTCGTTCTTTACCCTGTACTCAAACTTGTCCATCTCATGGGCCCAATCTCCAGCAGCATATATCGGTCATTTCTTCAGATGAGGGAAACACTGCCACACCTCCATTTTCCCATGCCTCGCCTCGGCATGTTCTCTGCACTTGGACTCACTCGTCGTGCACATGAAGGTCTGCATGCACACCTTGCACTGTTGTTGCACAACCAAGCAATGCATTGGGATGTCCACAAGCGTTCCACAAAACACCAAGATCAACCGAAATTTCCAGTTAATAAAACCTCAACACCACCTCGGCCACCAGAACTCCGACAAACAAAACACGCAATCACGCTTACAGGAAGCAAAACGAACAAAACAAAGATAGCAAGAACTACCCATGCGTAACAACCCCACGACTCGTGTTTTGTAGTTGTTTTCTTTCCAGGCGTATCTTTCCACTTCCCAGCTGAAAAATGAAAACTTCGTTTCCTTTCTGGGTGCATCTTTCCATTTCCAAGCCGAAAAGTAGAAATGTGCCTCGCTCCACTCAATACATTGGGCCTCCTCCATGCATCTGATCACAAGTACAGGCTAAAGGCACAGCATCCATGGGTCCCACAGGGAAAGGACGGTCGCTATTGGGATTCCCTCCCTAACAACATTCAATATGTATACAGGCCGCGTAACGGCCAACAGACATTCGGATAGATCCAATGTTTTGAATGCATTAGGACCATCACCACGTCCAGATTAGGAGCATCACCACTTCCAGATTAGGACCATCACCACTTCCAGATCAGGACCATCACCACTGCCAGATACACCAACTGCTGTGCTAAAATGGAGAGGCCCATTATGTCGTATTCAACCAAAAGAACGAAGATCTCAAGGCAGGGCCTACTGCGAAACGTGTTCTTGCTCTTAGGGAAAGCACGCAAGCAGCCCTGTCAGATTTGGAAACCATGCCACAGAATGAGACTGATCCTGGACGTACAGCTGTGCAGTAACATGGATGATCTGTAACCTGACGTGCTTTGCTGTGCTCCAATTTTCAAAACACGTTTTCAAGACACGCGTGGCCCTTGAAAAACATGAAGTCGTCAAGGATTTGAACTAGGCATCTGTCTATTCAACGGGTCAACGGGTCTCTTTGTTGCCGTCCAGACACGAGGCAGGGGCACATAACGGGTCAATGAAAGCTGCCTGTTTCTCGCGAGCCATTCCTCGCGCCTCCCACCGATTAGAAACAGGCAGCTTTAATTCTGACCCGTTTTGTTTCCCATCTTGATTTGATACCACAACTACCTTCTTCCCCCGAATACAACGTTCGATCATTATTGCTGTATTTAGTCCGAAAAATAACCCAAATACAGCTATAATGACCGTACGTTGTATTCGGGGGAAGAAAGTAGAGAGACAAATTTCTCAAGCGCCCGGCGCCAGAGCCAACACATTGGAACCGTTCCCCTATACATACTGCACCTGCGCCCTCGGTCGGAACCATACGTAGCGACGTAGCGAATTAGATCTAATTTGGAAAATTTCGCGTGTTTCCAATTTGTTGTTCGTGTAGATGACCCCTCGCCCCCAGACAACGCCATTATGCCGTCTCCCCAACCTCATCCTACCATCCCTAGCCAGATCAAACCCCTCCGCAAAACTCCCTCTCTCCCCATACCACCTCAGACTCCCTCCCTGAACCACACCAACCCCGCTCTGAATGCCTCATAATACAACCCGCCTCCCGACGCCTCATCGAACACCCCTCCCCAGACCTCATCACTTCCCCCAAAACTCCTCGCAACCTTCCGCAAACCTCATCGAACACCCCTCCCCAGACCTCATCAACCACCCTCCCCTCTCCATGGCCCATGACTAAAAACTCTCCATAGCCCTGACCACACCTCATACCCCCTGGCCACTGAAGACCACTCGCTCCCTCGCCTCCACTTATTCAACCACCCTCCCCTCTCCATCGCCCACGACCAAAAACTCTCCATAGGCCTGACCAGACCTCATACGCCACCCCCTGGGCACTGAAGACCACTCGCTCCCTCGCCTACACCTCACAAGTCCCTAGCCTGATCATAACACCTCACAACACTCATCTCACTAATCTCCCGACAACTCGTACCATCCGCTGCTGACCTTGCCTTACTCATCCGCACTCGCTCCACAGAACTCGTCATACTTCCCAAACCATGTCGTACTCACCTCCAAACCCTAAATAACGCCGATCAGACATTATTGTGGGAGGAAAACATATGGTAAAAAAACACAGCCTACTAACCCACCACCCAAGAGACAACAGTTGACACAGGATAACGCAGTTCGAGAAAGCATCGATACATCACCGACCAAGAGACCATTTCGTGTGCACATAATACAGTATGGACAATAAGAGAGGTTATCTCGAGAACTGACTCCTCACCTGAATTGTCATTGCCGCTTGATTGCTCGCTAACTGCGATCCACCTGTACAATGACACAAACAACGACCAGAAACAGGATGGGTGAGAACCCGAGGTTACTTGGGTACTACCGTACGTCACGCAGGTATTACATTCGAAGTGAGCGGATGGATGAGCATCACAGAACCCGATGAATACACGAGGGCCACAAGGCTCCAACGCTTACATAGCGAGCGAGCAGACAGGAAGCATCTCCGCAAAAATACACCCAACACGTCCACGCGTAAGAGAAGGCCGCCAGTACCGTCGTAGAGAGAACCAAGGGAGGACAAAAACGGCTCTTCATCGATCAGAAAGACACAAAAGACGCTCCAACCGCTTTTCTCAGCTGCATTTAACCCACGATTTACATCAGAAACACATCCTGGATGGTCAGCACATGTTCAAAACTCAGACCGTCGGTCACAGGACTGTATCAACTGAATCTGGCCAGCACTAAGACCGGGCGACGAAGCGAAGGGCAGAACCTAATCAAAACCAATCCAATCAATCGTTTAGAACCTAATCAAAACCAATCCAATCAATCGTTTAGAACCTAATCAAAACCAATCCAATCAATCG